AGGAACTTTACAGGTATTAACATTTTTCCATACAAAACTAGATTAAGTTTCTCAGAGGTGTCCTAGTTTCCTCTTACTCCTTGCAACAGTGCCTGATTTCACTTCTGTATTTAATGGCACCTTCAAAATTAACTGTCTTCATGAACATGGCAGCAGTACAATTCATAATCTTAAGAGGTCCTAGCATGAACATTTCTCTTTGCACACTTTTAGTCCTCAGAAGTGTCATGGTTTAAGCCCTGTAGCTGAACCCAGGACAAGAAGTAAACACATTACAGTTTATTAGATCAGTGCCCTGTCAGATGCTGAATGCTCTTGTTTTCAGAGGAAGTAAAGGAATGAAGGAATGGAAGCATCAAGTTCTTTCTGAAACCTTCAGGACATCTTACAACATGGGTTATCAGCTTTGTTTGGTTGCTAGATACAGTTGCTGTTTGCATGTGTAGAACTCTAAGACTAGGTCAGCCTCCCTGTGAAAAGTATTAGCCTTTACTGACTGAGTCAAGATTAAGTTCTGACCATCTCGTGTTGAACTGCACACATGTATAAACACTAATAAATGCATTTTCCAAGGAGCAGTCTGCCTCAGTTCCTGGTAGGAAATGGTGGTGCCCAGCTGAACTGGACTTGCATAATTTTTTGAGTTCAGACTAAAGACGCGATTACAGCAAAGTATAGGGAGACTTACCTGTCCTGGGTTCAGCTACAGCAGTTACAAAGTGTTTATATTTTGCGAAGTCGGTTTCATAAATCCTGTTTCCTGCTGCACTGGAACTGGAAGAATGGATAGTACTTCTTACACGTTTGCATAAGTTGCGCACATAAACCAGTTATAACAAGAGGGCAGCTTTGCTACAACCAGAAATGTCTCTGGAACAGATGAGAACGTGGATTCACTTCCAGTGAACCAGCAGACCCGCTGTTAAGGGGAAGTGAGCTGATCCAAAACACAGGGGCAGAGCAGATGTTCTGTGCTTACCAGTGTAAAAAATGGAATGAGATCCTGGGGGTAGCACAGCTACAACACACTGGGCTGCCTGTTACCCAATCAAGAGTGCAAGGTGTTCAGCTTGGATGTTGTTTATTATTGTAATGCAGAATTGTCAGGGACATGTATCTGGAGTGCAAAAGGATAGATCTCCCACCAGGAGATGACAGCTCTGCGCTGCAGTTTTGGCATAAGCTAACTACAGCACTTTCATACTGATGTACTTTCTGACTGAGACTAAAGAGAGTCAAAGGATTTCCCACTGATGAAGTTTTTATGTGAATAATCTCTGTCCTACTTGTGTGGGGAGTGTAGATGGAAGAAAGGCAGTATCCGTGCAGCACTAATCTCTGACTCATTTGCAGCTGTCATAAACTGCTCCGATGTCTCGTGGATGCGTGGTTGACACACAGAAGCTCCAAACAAGGATTTGGATTGCAGAAAGTTGATCACTGATGCATCCATTTTATCCAGTTCCCAGGCTCTGTGCCTCCAGAATGGCTCAGCCATGCGTTATAAGGCTGGTGAATAGTAATAAAGAAAAAGAGAAGAATTTTACTTGTTTGCTGAAAAAAGCTGGGGTTGAATTCTGTAATGTGGGAAAAAGCCTTTTTCAGCAGTGCTGGGTTTGTTTCTTAGTTAATTTGCAAGTGTTATATTTTTACTATTTTTAAACATGCTTTTCAATTCATGCTCTTGAATTTGGGTGCAATTCTAGGGAGAGATGTTTGAAATGAAATTGTTGGCTCTCTGTGGTAACCCTAACTCTCTGCTAGGCAGAAGAGAACATGCAGCTGGGGTGCAGACAGCTGCCATTTGAAAGCCATAATAACAGGAGTGCATCCTGGGGTACCTCACTTCTTCCATGATGGGACTTGTCCTCCTGAGTGATTCCCTGCTGTCTTTGGTACTGACCAGCACCTAAGCTCTCAATAGGCAGACTGATACCTCTTCAGTCATGTTGGTTATCTGAACTGCTCTGCTCTTAAGATCTGTTCCTTGACATCCTTCCTGCTTCACTTCTACAGCAGCAGTGAGCAAGGAGTTGTGCTTTCTTTCTTTCTTCAGGTAAAGAGTGTCATGGGGACCTCTTGTTTCCTTCCCAAGACCTAGGAGAGCCACTGTATTAGAACTAGGTAGCTGTATCCAACCAGACTGGTGCAGCTGAATGAAAGATGTTGGGGCCTGAGTGTAACTGCAGAAACTAATGTTTTCCCTCTTTCTTCAGTGACCCAGGATAGGGGGAGCTTGAGGAAAGGCCAGTGGCTGTTTTTTCTTCAAACTCTCCAGTGTCTAAGTTGAGACAGAATGAATAGAGATGGTCATTGCATCTGACCAACTGTGTAGCAGGACCAGCTGCTCTCGGGCAGCCTCCCAGCCACAGTAACAGTTGTGCTCCATCCTTTTCTGCAACACTTCATTTGCAGTCATGTCTGAAATTTTCCCCTTCTCAAGGACAGGTTTAACAGCAGAATTTGATGGGTTTAATGCTACACAGTCCTGGCAAGTGAGACCTGTGGAAATTTTGTACTCTTTTAGCTCTGTTGTCTTCTTTACCAGTGATCTAATTCATCAGGAATAAATGCAGCCTTCAGGTTCTGATTGGACTCAGGATTAGATCCACAAAACAGGACAGGACTGACATTGCTGTTTCCATGTTGCTGAGGCAAAGAGCAAGCCTCAAACCCCCCCCAAATTTACATGTTAAAAAGAAGCAATAACAATGGGATGTATAGGGAAATCTGTTTTACTCAAGATTGCAGTCAGGTACCATTTTCCAATGCACTGACACAATCATATTAGTAGTCGTGCTGAGTCTACACACATTGCCAAGTAGTTGTGGTAATATGAGAAATTTGGGAAAGTATGCTCTCTAGAAAGTACTGTTAATGGTGCTGTTACAGCATAAAACATATTGCATTAGCAACAATGTCAGTAGTACTTCAGGAACTAATCTGATTCCTTGAACAAAGTTTTCAAGAGATTTAAGAAAAGTATTTATTTTTTACTTTTTAAAAGAAGGGCGTACTTAGCGCTGCTTGTAAGGAAAGCAGACAGCTGTGCTCTTGGAGTTGGGTTTTCCCGTGTGCGGCAGGAGAGGTACATCAATGAAACTGGAATAAGTCTAAGAGGAGGCAGAACCCTCTGTCTTTGTACCTGCTACTGTTCCATGGCTTCGGGTGTTACCATCATCTGAAAGGAAAAAATAAACCTGTCCATGACTACATGGAAAAGTCCTTCAACGATTTCAGCCCTGTCTTAGGTAGAAAAAAAAATAAAGTTTAAGGAGTCAACTTAAGTATCACACAGTGCAGTAAGGTATCATTGAATTACCAAGTTGGCTCCAGCATCTTTGCTTGAGTCAGCTGTCCTGCTCCACACAGAACAGTGTATATTTTCTTACAGCATTTTTGAGTATGGTAACTAATTCACAAGCTCCCTCTGCTGGCCTTCCAGCATAGGAGACTAATGGCAAAGCTGCTGTTAGGTTGTTGTAGACTGACCCATTTTGACAGCTTATTTTGACACTTTCTGTGGCATCAGAGAAAGTGTATGAGCAAATGCATGTAAATGGCTTTCTTGAAGTGTGACAGAGAGGTTTTATATGTTAGATACATTTTTTTTTTCCATGCACAGAGAAAGGCCTTTTCCACAATAATGTGAGTGTGGCTGTTACGTCCTCAAAGTACTGATGCATCTATAAAAAGATAATGATACTTGGCATTCAGTAATGCCTTCTGTTACATACAGGAAGAAGCTCTAAGAAAATAAATAGAAATCTAAAAGAATTAAAAGCTTACAGTCTTCAAATATACTCAATGCAGTATGCAGTTCTGTGTAGCAGTGGTTTTAAAAAGGCAAATCATGAGCTAAGGGGCTTGCAGCAGGCATTCAGAGGAATGATGAAGTGCTGACAATTTTACTGTAATTGGCAGCAAAGAAGAGCTAGTCCTGCTCCTTTCTGCCTAATCCTCAAGGTCGAGATTTCTGTCTACAGTTTTTGAAACATATCTAGGGCGTAGGCACTGTCATAACTAATATATTACAAAATCTCTCTTAGGAGATTGAAAGGAGATGTGAGATGATTTACTTCTAACAATCTAAAGGTTGAGTAAGACTGCTAACAACAAAGGAGGATGTTCTCTGATTCCTGTAGACATGGCACTTCCTTGCTGACTTTTAACAGGGATTTACTGAATAAAGTACCTGCCTTAAATAATTCACAGATTTGTGGAGTGCCTTGATGGGAGAAGGAATATTGTCTGCAGTAGTACAAGAGAAAAATTGAGAGACTTTGGAAACACAGTGGCTTTTTTACTGTAAGTAGGGCTTCTAGGCATGGGCGGAAGTACAAATACTAAGTATTAAAGTGCTGCTGAAGTGATACAGAAATTGCAGGGGAAATGTGGAATGCATGTATCGCAACCCTTGATCTAGTGAGGAGACTCTAATTTATGCTTTTGATGCAATAGGATAGGTTGTGGTGTCTTTAAAAATACAAAAAAAGTTAGCTGAAATATCAAACCATCAACATTATATCTCTTAGTAGTCTTTTGGCTAAGTACTGACATGATAAAGAATAATTTTACCTACTGTGTAGCTGGCTCATGTTAAATTACATTCAAGAAATTTCTCAAAAAAAATATAGCTATCTCAAGCATGAAGTTTTTTCTGGGTAGCATATTCTCATTTTGGCTTTATCCTTCCTCACAGCATCTGACAGCATTCACCAGAGGATGCGATACCAGTATGTGATTTAACCTTTTAAAGCCTGTGGGATGATCACTCTGTTTCTTTGTTGTCCCTAATTAAACATACTGCTTCAGTAATTCCCAGGGGCAAAGAGGCATTGTTATTACAGTGAAATTAAAATGAACTTTGTAGAACCACAGCAACACCAACTGTATTTATGATTAATGTATTCTATTATTGTTGCTTTGGTCATAAGTTTTTAGCTGTTTTGGTCATAGGTTTTTAGCTGTTTTCTTAAAGATACTGTGAGGGAGCATAGAGAAACTAGCCAGAGATGTTACTTCTTGGCAAGGTAAAAAGTCTGGGGGGATTTTAACACAGAATTGGTTGAAATACAGTGTAGCAAGCCAATGGAGATCTTAAGTGTGATTTCTGATCATTTAACCTTCGGGAGACTGCTAATAATGACAGTAAGTGGGGGGTTCTGTTCCAGCCAACCGTTTCCTAGAATAAGGAGGAAATACAAATCCTCCCTATTTATGTGGAAAACAGGCAGCAGCCCTACAATGACTGTGGATTGAGGCTCTTGGCAAGAGATGTTTGGTTTGGAGGGAGCACAAAAATTTTCGCATTTAATTATTAGTTAGGACACATCTCCTACCTGCCTTAAGCATACAGGTCCATCCAAGTGGCCAGAGAGAAGGTTGCTTTCAAGATATGTGGATTACTTTCTTTTCCATTTTCTTTGGTAATGTGGAAGTGGGTCAGGGTAGGTTGATTTCCATCATCCATTCTAATAATGATTTTAAGTATAATTTTTTATCTGGCTTAGCATGTGGGGTTTCTTTGTATAATGAAAAGGAGGTGATATTTTTAGCATATTTTATTATGCCAGCCGAAAAGGTATACTATGTATATGCTTAAGTAATCGTAGTACTTAAGTGTTTGACTACTTACGCTTAACTTTATATTAAAAAATGGTGAACAATACATTACTTGCTAGCTGATACATCTTTATTGTACAAGGCTGGATTTGGGTAGAAGTTTAAATCCATTTAAAATACGCAATCAGCATTTTAAAATAGTCTTTAATTCAATTTAAAAATTAAATGCCCTGAACATAAAAATAAGCTTCACAAAACATGGTATTGAAAGCCAGTTCATTTATTAAGTAACCGAACTGATTAAGATTTTTCTAAACAGTATGCCTTTGCCTTCCAGAATTACAACTAGGAGATCTTATCATTCACATTTATTTTCAAAGGGTTACCTTACTAAACCTTTTACAAAGTACCGAATTTGGAGGATTAGGTTCCAAACTGCAAGGTGGTAAAATAAGAGCTCTGGAGAGAATGCAGTGCCTCTCACTATGTATCTGTTCTCTCATTTGCTTAGGAATTAAACTTTTTCTTTAAATTCATTGAAGCTGAAACAATTAATTTAAAAATTACTGGAAATGAGTGAAGTCTCCAGATGTTGAAGGCTTATTTACTTCTACTGCAGTAACATTAAAGATCAGTAATCAAGATCAGAAGTAGGTTGTTCTCCAGGTTATACAAATATCACAGACATTTGAAGCAGCTGTAATAAAATGCCTTGTTATCAGGGAGCAAGGCAAGATAGACAAACAAGATATTTCAGCCATTAGTTTTCAGTCAAGTTCTAAGTGATACTAATTATCCATAGCATCTTTTACATGCCAAATGAGACAATATGGTTTATAACAGATGTTGCCTCCATATTGAATGCTAACAGAATCCATTAAACTTGAAGAAGTAGTTGCAAATCCTATGATAATACAAATTATAGCAAAACCAGTTGTTTTCAGAAACATTTTAAATACATTACCTTGATATTCCAGTTAGTTTTAGGATTACTGTTTATCTTGTCATGTCTATTTCTACATATTTTTCCTTTTTTTTCCGCTTTATTTTGCTTTTTTCCTTTCTCAGTTCTCTTTTCAAGAGTTGAAAATACATTTTTGCAAAGTACAGCTGCTCTTGCCTAAAGCCAAAACCCTACTTCAATTAAATTATTTAAATGACCTAGGTATTGGTCAGTAATGTACAGATGTGGTTGACACAGAGGAAATAACCAGTGACTGCAGTGAATTGCATATAATTAAAGCTGTAGTTAAACCCTGTAAAACCAATTCCTCTCTGAATGCTTTAGGTCAGTAACTTGGAATAGTTTGTGTCTGATGAAATATACAATTTGTAAATCTTACTTACTTTTCACACCACTAAGAGTAAGGCATTAGTCGTTTCTTAGGACTGCATTAAAGGCAGTGTTGACCTGTTCATGATGATTAAGTCTTATAAACATAGCTAGCTTGTCTTCATAGAAACCTGTCTTGCACTTCATTTTTCTTAGCATTTTCTTGAAATAAGAAGGCCTGATTGTTTTACTAAGATATTTCTGAACCTACATATGTAGTAGTGATTTTCAGTAAAATTTAGTACCCTTTTCCTTACGCCCTTTTTTTTGTCTGCAGAAAAATCTGTTCCAACAAAGCCTGTAACATTTACTTCTTCTCTAGTTTTCTTTTCCACTATCTTCTCCTAATGTCACTTCCTCTAGTCTGGAGGCGGCTGTTCTGTAGCTTGCCTGGTGCTTGTTGTCAGCTTCCATCAGACCGATGGATCTCTGGGAAGGAAAGGCAGGGGCTCTGAATGAGTCTCTTTCACCTTACCTGTGCAGCTAAAGATGTGACATTTGCTTTCCTTAGACAGGATGAAACTCTGGTTTTGAGAAACATTATGTAAATTTACTGGTTTATGTAAGGAACTCTTAATAACGATACACATGATGGCATGCTCATAAGATTCAAGGCAGCGCTTTGTCTTGTGAACCAGCAAAAAAGCAGTCCTGAAAAATGCCTAAAAAATAAAATTATTATAATGGACTTGATGTTTGGTTTGATGTTTCTGTCTAGGTGCTGACCCCAGCACAAATAAAATCAATTTGCCTGGCCATACTAGAATCAGGAAAGCAGTATGCAGTGAAGAAGCGGAAACCATTCCCACTCATGTATTCCTACTATGGAACAGAGTACCTTGGTGAGTAAAACACACTGACTACTTTGAAAGTGATACTGTGTGTAGATGCTGAGCCAGTAGATGCTTCAGAAACAAAATACTTAAAAACTAGTGTGGGATTTCTCCTGAGTTGGGACTATCTAACCTCCTAAAACTGCTAACTGGGACTAAGGAGCTGGAAGGAAGGACTGATGCTGCCTAGCACTGGGGAAGGCTGGGCTGCCTGTGCACACCGGGGGAGCAGCAGGCAGCAGCTTCATTTAAGGGTAAATATGCCCTTGCCAGAGGGAGGCAGTGAGAGGTGTGGTCATCATGCCTGCGTGCAGAAGTTTACCAGAGAGAGCTTTCAGGGGTGATACCTGTAAGCTCCTGTTGCCACACAGGGACTTGCAGAGCACTTTTGGCTGTACTAGTGCAACTGAAGCGTATGGTCAGCTCCTACCCATCCTAAGCAGCGTAGTTGGAGCTCATCTGAAGCAGTGGTGAAAGATCATTAAGCAGGTACCTAGTGGGGTCCTCAAGGCACAATATCACACTGCAGAAAGTGTGAGATTGGTTTTTAGATCTTAGTGAGTTCTCTGGCAGGGGAGCAGAGAGAGAAGTCAATGAGTGGTGCTGCTCCACAGACCTGGCAGACAATTCTTGCACTGAAATTTAGGTTTTAGCTGACTGATACTGTCAGTCAGTAACTGGGAATACCATTTATGGTCCAATTTCAATTTGGGTTCAACAAAGACTTCAGAATAATGGTCCAAATTTAGTATTTTGTCAAGAATAATGTCTTGAAGTAGTATTCAGTTCAGGTTCAATTTAACTTCGCGCATGGAGTTTCAGTCATATCAGAGTGAGAGCAGAAAAAATTCATACCTATTTTTGCACAGGTAGGAGAACTGGAAATGAAAGAAGTAGTAACAAATCATACTGTTGCATGCCTAGAAAGCTTTTATGCCAAGCACTACTGTAATACGCATAAAGAAGATGAAAGAGTCATGTGCTTGACAAGAAAATCAGTCCCAAGGAAAAGTTGCCGTGAGGTGGAGGTAGGACCTAAACCTACCCTCGAATTTGACTGTTTCTATTCTTTACAGGTGCAGCTCATGGGCTTTCATCAATCCTTCAGATGTTACTTTCCTATTATGAGTACCTGCAGCCAGCAGATCAGGAGCTTGTGTGGCAGAGCATTGATTTTCTTATGGACCAAGAACAGAACAGCAACTGGCCTCCTGAGCTGGGAGAGACAATTGAGCGGGAGAATGAACTTGTACACTGGTGTCATGGAGCTCCAGGTTCTTTTCCCATTGATGCTATGAATAGCCAAATGCTAATCACATTGCTTTTCCCCATTAGGTGATTCCATGTAGAAGATAATCCAGGTTAAATCTAACCAATTTTGACATTTTATGAGATGCAGGGAAACTATTCAGGCTTTTTTTCCAGTTAAGAGTGTTTCAGTTATTGCTGAAGCAGCTGGAAAAATAGGTGTATTTTCTGCCTTAAAAGGATAGGTGATCACAGCTGAAAGAATTCTGGTGATCCTCAGCTGTGTGTTTTCTGCTCTTGCTCCCTTTCATGATCAGACCTCAAAGAGTGGTTCAGCTGAGTCTAAAGACAGCGTATGGCTAGACACAGAAATAATGTGTAAAAGAACATAGATACAGACACATCAGTGAGTTCTGGGAAGGCCTTCAGAGTAGCTTTTTCCCCCTCATCAGAATCAGTTTAAGCTGCACTCGCTACATGGATAAGGCATAAATTTGACCAAAGTATTTTAATGTGAAGGGGAGTTGGTACTAGCAAGGGGCCTTTTTTCTCAAGGTCACCCATATAAAACTGCTTCTCAGAGATAAAGAGAATCAATCCTTAGTTTGGGTTGATGAGGTAAGTCTGATGTATGCCAGTTCAGAATCTAATCCTACACCTTAGCAATTTTGGCAAGTAATGCTATATATTGAAATAGCTTTTTTACCCCTAGGCAAAATTTTATTGCTAACAAGTCATACTGACCTGGTAACATGAACCTGGAAGGGTACCAAAAACCTTACTTTTATTAAAGAATGTCCATGAACATTGATGCGTTGCTTTTAAAGGTGTTCTGTTTAAATTTTAAAAAGTACATTATAATTAACATCCCTTAAATGGGCTTTCTGCTGGTGCATTATCTTTTTGTTGGTATGGTTAAGGAACAAACTTCTTGCTCCCACACTCTAATGAAGTGAAGTAAAGCCAGCTTTTGTTTAACAAACTTATTTTATTTTTAAGAGGAAAAAAATTACTTCTACAGCATAGCTGGCCTAGTGATGGAGCCTGCAGGCAAGACGTGCTCTTTGTTTCAGCATCCTAAGAGTAGTTTTTGACTTGGGTTTAACTTAGTGGAGACATACACAGTGAGACTGGACCAAAGTGACAAAATCCCAAAGCACATTAAGAAGTTACTTTAGGAGACATTTAGAGACATGCAAATTCATTAATTGGTATAATTCTTCCCCAGAAGATCTGTATCCCATCACTGGTTTTGGGTAGTAACACACATGTAGCTTACAAGAACACTTTTCAGCTACTTCAGTGTACATTATATTCAGACCACAAGTGAGCTGTTCTAAGCATTTCCGTAGGCACTTGATTTGGTTATGTGTCATATGCATTCTTTGAAGGTTACCATGAACTGAGTTGTGCAATGCTCTGTAAAAAATTATGGTTAATTCATTCAAATCCCCTCTGAAAATAAGCCAAATTGGTTGGTTGGTGGTTGGTTTTTCTTTAACGGAAGTTAAGATGTATAACTATTTATAACTAGAATAAAGCAGCATGGGCTCCACTTAAAAAAAAAAATTAAAAAAAAAAATGCAAGTTTCTTTTTCTCATTTGGTAAAAAATTATCTGTTGCCAGTGTAAGAAATTATCTTGCCCATGCTTGTGTCGGTGAAAGTAGGTGAGGGATTTGAAACCAATAGAAGATAGCGCTAAGAGTTTACTGTATTAAAGGCAAAAATGTGACTACTGTTCTAAATTGTTAGAAGACTGGGAAACCCTGAAATTCAGGAATGCATTGAAAAGATTGAAAGTGGTTGTGTCACATGGGGTGGATAAGTACATCTTAGCATATGCTCATCTGCTTTTTAGCATACCAGGTACTCTCCCCTCCATATGTAGCAAAGAGATTTGTAACGTTGACAAGTGCAGATAATGAGACTGCAGTTTTTAAGTGTATAAATCTTTGTTTTCTTATGTGTTCTATGAAACCCTTGGCCTACTTATTACAAAAGACAATTTCACTGCTATTTTCCTAGGCATTGCATACCTGTTTGCCAAAGCTTATCTGGTTTCCAAGAAGCCTCAATATCTGGACACTTGTATCCGCTGTGGAGAGCTAACTTGGCAGAAAGGCCTATTGAAGAAGGGACCTGGAATATGTCATGGAGTGGCTGGTAGTGCTTATGTGTTCCTGCTGCTCTATAGGCTCACTGGAAACTCAAAATACATATACAGGGCACAAAGGTTAGAATTCCTACCTTTCTGGATTCAGGGTAATACTGCAAAGTTTCAGGAACATTTATGAAGCTGCGCAGTCTTTGATCACCACCCTTAGATCCCTTAGATGTAGCCTGAATGTTTAAGCCTCAGGTTCAATTCTACGTATGAGTTGTGGGGCATTCACACTCTGCAGGGAGCCCTGCAGTCCTGCCTCCAGGCTGCCTGCAGCAGAAGCGTTAGGTTCTCCTGGGGTTCCCTCCCTCCCTTCCTTCACAAGAGCCTGTGCTCCTTTGGAGGGAACTGGGGTGGGTGACTAGCAGTAGTGTGCATCCAGGTCTCATCCTGACATGAGGTCAGAAAGCAGCCAACTTGTGGACCTGTGTCCAGGAGCAGAGCAAAATGTGATTTTTTTATGATTTTCAGAACATTTAACACTATCCCTTACTACTAGAAGTAGAAAATAAGTATAGGAACTGCTTTGCTGTTACTTTACAGTTTTTTAATTTATCATTCCCATATCCAGTTTGACATTGTGCTGTTCAGCTTAGCTAGTGGGGCTAATTCCGTTTTGTCCTGATGCAAGCAAGTATGGTCCACTGAAAATTCTGTCACAGTGCTGCAATTATCTTTAATTATATTTCTGCAACTTACAGTATTCAATGTTTGTTACTGACAGCATAGACTAATGAGGGGAAGTAGTATAGTAATTAGGGTGACTTACTTTCAGCCATCTGCTTTGAAGTGAGAACATCTTATTTGTGTAGTTATTTCAGCATTACAGAATGTGTTGCATCCTGCTTGCATCCTGCT